CCCCGGCACCCAGGTGCTCCTCTGCCTCTTTTTTGACTTTTTTCTTCTTTCTTATTTTTTCTTTTTTTCTCTCTCTCCCCGCCCCTTCCCTCCCAGGACTGGAATCGGGATCCGCGTCCCTGCAAGTGCTATGCCCACGGAACTCTCCCGGGCCGTGAGAATGCACGCCATCTCCGACCTCCACTCCTCCCTCACTCTGCGACTCCTCAACAAGGGTCCCGAGTACCTCCGCAGGCAACTGGAGGCTGGCAGCCCGGGCAGGAAGAGTGCCGTGGAGAGGCTGGCAGCCGATAAGGCCAAGTACGTAAAAAGTCAGCAGGTCATCAGCACCAAGCAGGAACCCGTCATCGTGCTCAGCTCGGCCTCGGAGAGCAGCAGCGAGACCTGTTCGGTGGAGAGCAAAAAAATCAGCAGGGACTTCGGCAGAGGGAAAGGCGCGAAGCCCCTGGATCTGGCTAAGGCGGTGTACTCCTGCCGTGCCCCCTCCATAGCCAGGCGCAGCACCCCCAAGAGGCAGATGCGGCCGGATTCCCTGGTGATTTACCGCCAGAAATGCGAGTTTGGGAGAGGTCAAAGCCAGGACACCTCACGGGGGAGTTTGGTGAGGAGGATCTTCCAAGGGTCTGTAAAGGAGAAGCAGCTGGCTCCCCCTGAGATGCCCAGAGTCATGGAGGACACCGTAGCCACCGAGAGCAAAGAGCTTCTCTCGGCACCAAACAGTGATCATGAGCCAAGCAACCATGGAGTAGAGCAAACCATCGCTGTAAGCACCAAAACCCCAGGGATATGTACAAAAGAGCATGAGAGTCCCTCAAAACTGAGTATACCTCCTGAGGAGGTCAAGGAGGTGAAGAGGAGAGGTCTCCATCGCTCTCAGTCAGACATCAGCTCTCGCTACTCCAAATCCTTCTCCGAGTTTGATACATTTTTCAAGTACTGTGGCCTGGAGCAGGAGGTCATTGAGGATATCGGGAGAGAGAACTTCTCCGTGGTGTCCGACAATGTCTCCTTCAAGATCCGCAGCATCAGTGTGGCAACGTCCGAGAGCGACTTCACGCGACACAGCGGGGACGAGGGGCTGCTGGAGGATGAACTCACAGAACAGGTCCCGAGCAGCACATCCGTGATTGAGCGCAACGCTCGAATAATCAAATGGCTGTACACGTGTAAGAAAGCCAAGGAGTCTAACAAGGTGATCCAGGAACTGGCGTGATGGCTTCTTTCTGCGTGCGTTGCAGCCTGGTGAACTCAAGGTGTGTGCAAAGCCTCGCCCTGTTGATTTATGTGTTTTTCTTTTCCTCTTTAGCAAGTGGTTGACTTTTTAAAGTTTATTTTACTCTTTTCATGGAGGATAGAAGGAAAATGTATTTTATATACTACATGTTTCAGTATGGCCCTTTTGCAAAGCAGAAATCCATGTCGTTACAAAAAACAAAATACAAACAAATAAATGCTTGCAGCTTGCTAGATTTAAATCAGTCCATCATCATCCTCCCCATGAAATCAGTGTCAGTGAGGGATGTCTGTCCTTTGCAGATTCCTGCTTTGTAAATAGCTTTTTTTCTCTAATCTCTGCTATATTAAACTTCTCTGAAAAGTACTCAACCCTTAATTACACTTGCTTAGATAAGAGACTGAACTGAAACTATTACTAATTAGGAATACACTGTATATATACTATACTGCTACAGTTTTCCCCTCTGTACTCTCCTTCACTTTCTCTCCTTCCCATTATATATAGGCACCCTCAAATTTCAGGAAAGCAAACCTGACTCAGTGCTCCTGCAAGCAATCGTATTGCACCCCAGCTTTCTGTTGGGACCATATAAGTTTGCTCCAGGTGACCCCCTAGCATTTCACCAACTTGAAGTTTTCTGTCCAGTTTGACTGCAGTGGATTTGGCTCTCCTGCAGTGAGTTTTGCCACTCGATTGGCATCGGTAGCTAGAAATCGGTTGTGTGGTTTGCCTAACTGTTTTCAACTAAAGATAATTATTACAAATGTGTGCCATGTAGGCTTGAAAATCAATTATGTCACAGACAGAATCAGAACAAATTTAACCCTGGTAAAAGCCACTATCCTGGTTTTAATAAAAGCTGCGTTTATTTTACATCTGATCACCTGAAAAAGAACTATATTCATCGGGCCTTTGGTACTGATGATCTAGTAGATAAGAATTTTTTCTCCTTCCAATACATGTAGCCCTTAGGATAAGTACCACAGCGTACAGTATGGTATTTAAAAATTGCATGAGCAGATCTTGATGTGAAGGATTATGTTTATATTTTCTGACAGTTTGTTATTGGTGCATGAGAAGAACATCGTTTAGCGTAGTTACAGCTGTTCACAGAGAGTGTGGGCCTTATGATGGTGGGGAAATGTAGTGCTTGAGCCTCTTTTGTATGAAAATGTGAGGCTGTCACTCCTGATTCCTTTAATCTATACAGTGCAAAAATCCATTTACTTACTTGAAATCAGTTTTAATTATGTGAAATTTGGATCACTTTTAAGGTTTGAATTTTTCTCAAAAGCCTGTATTCTTCCTGCAAGTTGAGGAAGGAGGAAGGGAGAGCACTGTTTTTACAAAAACATTTCAAGCCTTTGTAGGTAAGAATGGTTGTCAGGTATCCAGCTGACAACTTAAAGAAGTGGTGTTACTTGACAGATCCTTTCCCAGATTACCTTAAGGAGAAGAAAGAGCTTTCTCCTTGTTCATCGTTTTGTGATAAAAGACAAGGGAGATACACTAAACAGGATGATGCAGGTGGCGGTTTGTGACGCTTGTTGCAGCTGCTGGCCTTGCTAAACACAGAGTATGGAAGGCAGATTTCACCATGAGCAGGAGCCACAAAACAAAACCAACCACATTTCCACGAAGATGAACAAAATAAAGGCCTGTTTGCTCCTGAATGCCCTTGCCAGGGATAGGGTCCAGAGCCAGAACTGCAGTTGACACTGTGGAGGCTGCCCAGGAGGGAGCTGTTGGCCCCTTCCCCACCCATTTGCATGGTGCTAAGCATGTCCAGCACTGCAGCTGAGACAGGAGATGCTGGTGACCAACCTAGGGAGTGTGCAGTCTGGTGAGGTGAAGGGCAGGAGGGGCTTCAGCAGAGCAAGTGCCAGGGCAGGAGAGAGGAGGCTCTTTTCCAGGAGCTGAGTTGGTGTAACCTCTTGTTCAAGGGCATTTTATTTTTTAACATCTGAGATAAAAAGACACATAGCCTAACAGGGTGGTGAAAAGACCTCCCTGAAGTGAACAGCAAGTTTGCTCATGTGTATGGTCATCCTGTAACAATTTTAATACCCTGAACCAGGGAGTGCTTTACATTGACAGCAATTTCCTTTGGCACCAAAATTTTTGGCAGTCTAGGAAACACTAATGCATAGGTTCCATATTATAAACCTAATTTTAAATGTACTAAGGCTGACTCTCAGCTGACAGACCTCAGAAGCAGGGCTGTAATTGTTTCCAGGGTAATTTCTGAAAACTGCGAATGTACTTATCATTTAGACCACAGAACCAGAAGGTGCAGAAAGGTCAGCTAAAAATACCTGTACACAGCACCCAGAATATAGGGCAAGAGTCATCAAGAGCTACCATAAGTTAAATACTACATTTACTGAGCAGAATTTAAGCTGAGAGTTTTTATCATCACTTGATCACAAGATGAGTCCTGTAATCCTGATCAAACATTCATCTTTTTTCAGTCCTATGCTTTCTCTGACAGTGCAGCATCAAGTTAGGGATCTGTGTATTTTCACTATATCTACGTGTTTATTTTGCTTACTGGTTATTAATGGGCAGTGGACTCCTCTGTGATAAGGGAAACCTGCTGCATGGACGAGCTATTTGCACTTCCTGGCACTCCCAGGCATGTCCTTGAAGGCTCCTCATTTTACACAGAGGCTTGAAAATTGTTGCATCTTCTTTGGAAAAAGAGGCAGAAACACGTTTTCTGAAATCCAGTATTCATTACGTGTAAAACACCACCACAGGACTTTTATGGGCCAGTGCTTATCCTATTCATATTTTATGTTCTCCAGTTAATTTTTCATGTGCTCTTTGGCACCTGGTGTGGAACCCTGTAAATAAAACAGCTATTTGAAGGATCAAGTTCCCTAACTTGTTTCATCGGAGTGAGGATTGCAGAGTCTAAGCATGGGTTGAGAGACTGAGAAAACCAATGTCCTCAGTGAGATGTGCATTGCTGCTTCACGGTGGCATGTTGCCTGGATCCACCTCTGCAGCTCAGGTCCTCTCATTGCCAGTCCTGCTTGACTCTATGAAAGGGGTTCACTTTACATCCTTCTTTCTGGTTTGAATCAAGATTATTCAGTCTTGAGTTTCAGCATCATTCTTAAATGGACGTTCATTATTCAAGTGGAATAAATTTACTACATTGTCAATAGCCATAAGCAGCTGAATAAAAGCTTTAGATTATCACGTTATGCTTGTCTGAAACAATAAATAAGAAATGACACTTTTTTTTCTCTTTCTTCAGAAACCTTGACTTGGAAGTTGAACAAAACCAGACACAGGAAGAAATTCTTCCCTCATCTGGCTCATGACTACTTATTCCAAGTTTAGTATTTTATTATTGTCTCCTAACCTCGCCTCATCCCCTGGAGACCTCACTCTTGTCACAAGCACAGGGGTGTCCAAGAGTGTGATGACAAGTGGAGTTTGTGAACTGTGCCCTGGCAAGACAGTGGGAAATGAAAGCTCCCGGAAAAGCGAAGCGTGACAGCAGCTGCCATCCACAGTAATATTCAGCATCAGCTTGCTGCCCCAGGATGCCACTCCAGGCTGTGACAGAAGGTCTGTGTTGTGCACCCATCTCTTTCCAGCAATGAATTTGCTGTCAGGGTTAGAGGGAGAAAGTGGGAATGAAGTGGCAATGACCTCTGGGTCAGGTGTTTTCTTGCAGGCAGACAGGCTCCACCTGGACCTTCAAAGGCTCTTTCTTACCAGAGCTGTTTGATCAGGGCTCATCCTGACATCGTTGTAGGTTATTTGCTTGGCTAATGGGGGCTAACTGTGGCAGCTTTATCTGGGATGCTTGGCAAACATGTCGTATGCTAAGCCCTAGCCAAGCCTTCCTTTCTCTGAGAGTATTCAAGCCAAATTGGACTACCTTGTATCCATCTAGTTTGCTCTATCACACAGCTTGCTCAGCCAGTGGGAAGGAATAGCCTTTAAAACCCTGCCCAAAATGCTTTCAGAAGCATGGTTCCAAGAAACAGGTAATCAAAACTGAGAGAGAGGGTTTTGCATTGTTACTGCCTTGCTGCAGAACGGTACAATTCACATGTACATAGGCTCCTCCACTTCATTTGCAGTATCTTCGACTCTGACATTGCAAACATTGCAGTGTTCGGCAGCTTGTGGTTTAACACCTTAAGTTTATGCACTGTGAGTGGGCAATGGGCTTACAGAATCAGGTTAGTAAACTGTATTCCCAGGCTATGTAAGGCCACACTTCCTGCATGGGTCTGGAGTAGGGCTGTGCTTGGAAAGTTCCTGATGACACCCTAGCGCTGCGAGACAAAAAGGCATGCTAGGGTGCAGCCATGCCAGGTAAATGTCCTGATGGGGTGAGACACCCAGTGTAGACAGCACCTTACTCAATATCATCAACAAAATGCTTCATTTGGACTGACGAGCTGAATGTGTTTTAAAAGCTGATAAAAAGTACTTAGGATCATCAGTGCATGAGGCCTCTACTCATGGAATTCACTGTCTGTGCCTCAAGTACTTGACAATGACAAATCTGTCATTGCTTACTAGAAAATGTCTTGCACTGAAGCATTTCTTTGTGGATATTGCAAACCACAAAAAAATGAAAAATAAAACCCCAAACAATCAACACCAAAGCCAGTTCCCCTTTCAGTCACAGCAATGCCCATCTATGAGAGTTGCCCCACTGGCATAATGGTGACTCAACCTGAGCATTGAAAGTTTACTTTGTGTTACCACGTCTGTGGTGTCCGGCTTACCTGGCCGCCAGACTTGCAGTGTGAGGAGTCCAGAAACACCGGCTTTCATTCCCCACATTCTTCCTGACCACACCACAGCAGCTCGCCCTGCTGCCGCTCTTGGCCTAAAACAGCTGCCGGCACAGCCAGGTGGTGCTGAACTCAAGTGAGCACTTGAGCTGCATTTCTCAAGTGTTTGCTGCTCTCAGTAAATACATCTGGAGGAGCGGAAAGGGT